AGTACCAGTGTTTGGAGTTGTTTCTCGACATTGGTTGAGGCTTTAAAATTCGCCCTCCTCTGGAGGTCGCTTAATTTTGCTGCTCGTTTTTTTTTTTTTTTTTTTTTTTTTAAGCATTCAACCCCAAGCAAGCCATTAACATGCAAGTGGTTACAGAATTGGAGCGAGAACAAAGAGGAGTGATATAGGAAAGGATGAAGAGATGGTTAGGGTATAGATCAGAGCATCTGGAGACGTCGATTGACGTTACATTTGAATAGTTGGAGATTATAGCTATCAGGAAAACAAGAAAGTGGGAGGGAGTTCCACAGGCGAGAAGTGCGAGACATGAAGCTATTGGAGTAGAAGAAACAGCTATATTTAACAGTTTCGACAGTGAAAGTGTGAGAGTGAGATGCCAGCCTAGTTGAACGCTTAAATTCATGAAGTCTGGGAACCAGCGAAAGCAGCTCATCGGAGCTGTTACCATGAAAGTTTGTAAAAAAGACAGAGGTAGGCGACGGCACGTCTGTGAGAGAGCGGCTATGAGAGAGCGGCTGTAAGTGAGGGCGAATTACATTGCAAATTCGTCTTTGGATTTTATCAAGGACCTTGCTGTTGAGCGGTGAAACACAAATCAAGAAAGTTCTTTAATGAATCTAATTTTTTTGAAGCATTGATGCCCCGGGTTTTTTTTTCTCTGTCTTTTGCTCACTATTTCTGAATACACTTTTCGATTTAATTTCTTTGTTTTTATATTTTCTTTTTGTCTTTCTCTCTTTTTTTTATATTTTCTTTTTGTCTTTTCTTTCTTTTTTTATATTTTCTTTTTGTCTTTTCTTTCTTTTTGTCTTTTTTCTTTTTGTCTTTTTTTTTGTCTTTTTTCACACACGTTCTTTTTCGTACTGTTCAAGCATCTCAGTCTATTTGTTATTCTTTTTACGAATTTAATTTCTTTCTTTCTGTTATGTTTTGCACATCTCTCTGCATAGTCGTAGCCGTAGTAAAGTTCTCCGTGTCCTGAATAGCAACCGGGTTTGCTAGGCATAGCCACCCAATGTTCGCCAGTTGTTCTCTATTTATACTTGTCTATCTAATTTGCATACGATACTACACTTTATTTATTTCGTTCACATATTATTTTTCCTTCAACTTTTCTGGATTCATTCTTTCCTTCTTGTTTCAAGGGACCCGTAACCCCTTTGGATCGTAGTAACAAGATAGCCTGAAAGAGCCCAATCCTTTCTAGGTTTGTTTGAATTTTCCTTCTCCTAGACTGATTGCCAACCAAGGTTATAGGACAAAGCCTGTCCTACGATTTACCTATAGTTGGAATGGATTGATACCTTTCTGAAGGGCATTTGTACGTAACGAACTCGTCTGGTCTCGCGAGTTCTCGTTCCGAACCGTTAGCCATTGCATCAACCACGATTTCTACTCCTTGTTTACTCTTTTTAATTTTTTTTTATTCTTTCTTGTGTTCTTTTTTTTCTTCTTAGATATTTCTTTCTCTCTTTTCTATTTTTCTTCCTGACGTTTTTTGTTTTCGTTTTTATGCCTTCTCTGTTCATTCTTCATAATTGTTACTTTCTTTCTTTCTTTCTTTCTTTCTTTTCTTTCTTTCTTTCTTTCTTTCTAATCTCTTCTTTCTTTCTTTCTTTCTAATACCGTCTTTCTTTCTTTCATTCTTTCTTTCTTTTCTAATCTCGTCTTTCTTTCTTTTCTTTCTAATTTTTTAATCTCGTCTTTTTTTTCTTTCTTTCTTTTCTAATCTCGTTCTTTTTTTCTTTCTTTCTTTCTTTCTTTCTAATCTCTTCTTTCTTTCTTTTCTTCTTTCTTTCTTTCTAATCGTCTTTCTTTCTTTCTCTTTTCTTTCTTTCTTTCTTTCTTTCTAATCTCGTCTTTTTTCTTTCTTTTTTTTCTAATCTCGTCTTTTCTTCTTTCTTTCTTTCTTTTTCTTTTCTAATCTCGTCTTTCTTTCTTTCTTTCTAATCTCGTCTTTCTTTCTTTCTTTCTTTCTTTCTAATCTCTTCTTTCTTTCTTTTCTTTCTCGTCTTTCTTTCTTTCTTTCTAATCTCGTCTTTCTTTCTTTCTTTCTTTCTTTCTTTCTAATCTCTTCTTTCTTTCTTTCTTTCTTTCTAATCTCGTCTTTCTTTCTTTCTTTCTTTCTTTCTAATCTCTTCTTTCTTTCTTATCTCGTCTTTCTTTCTTTCTTCTTTCTAATCTCTTCTTTCTTTTTTCTAATCTCGTCTTTCTTTCTTTTCTTTCTAATCTCGTCTTTCTTTCTTTTTTCTTTCTTTCTTTCTTTCTTTCTTTCTAATCTCTTCTTTCTTTCTTTCTTTCTAATCTCGTCTTTCTTTCTTTCTTTCTTTTAATCTTTCTTTTCTTTCTTTTTTTTTTCTCGTCTTTTCTTTCTTTCTTTCTAATCTCGTCTTTCTTTCTCTTTCTTTCTTTCTTTCTTTCTTTCTTCTTTCTTTCTTTCTTTCTCGTCTTTCTTTTCTTTCTTTTTCTAATCTTCTTTCTTTCTAATCTCTTCTTTCTTTAAACTTTCTTTCTAATCTCTTTTCTTTCTTTCTTTCTAATCTCGTCTTTCTTTCTTTTCTTTTCTTTCTTTCTTTCTCTCGTTCTTTCTTTTCTAATCTTTCTTTATTTCTAATCTCTTCTTTCTTTTCTTTCTTTCTTTTTTCTAATCTCGTCTTTTCTTTCTTTCTTTCTTTCTTTCTTTCTAATCTCGTCTTTCTTTCTTTCTTTCTTTCTAATCTCGTCTTTCTTTCTAATCTCGTCTTTCTTTCTTTCTTTCTTTCTAATCTCTTCTTTCTTTCTTTCTTTCTAATCTCGTCTTTCTTTCTTTCTTTCTAATCTCGTCTTTCTTTCTTTTTTCTTTCTTTCTTTCTTTCTAATCTCTTCTTTCTTTCTTTCTTTCTTTCTTTCTTTCTTTCTTTCTTTCTTTCTAATCTCTTCTTTTCTTTCTTTTTCTTTTCTAATCTCGTCTTTCTTTCTTTTTAATTCTTTCTTTCTTTCTCGTCTTTCTTTCTTTTTTTTCTTTCTTTCTTTCTTTTCTTTCTAATCTCGTCTTTTCTTTCTAATCTCGTTTTCTTTCTTTCTTTCTTTCTTTTTAAATCTCGTCTTTCTTTTTTTCTTTCTAATCTCGTCTTTCTTTCTTTATTTCTTTCTTTCTTTCTTTCTTTCTAATCTCTTCTTTCTTTCTTTCTTTCTTTCTTTCTAATCTCGTCTTTCTTTCTAATCTCGTTTTCTTTCTTTCTTTCTTTCTTTCTAATCTCGTCTTTCTTTCTAATCTCGTTTTTTTCTTTCTTTCTTTCTTTCTTTCTTTTCTTTCTTTCTAATCTCGTCTTTCTTTCTTTCTTTCAATCTTTTTCTTTCTAATCTTCTTTTTTTCTAATCTCGTCTTTCTTTCTTTCTTTTCTAATCTCGTCTTTCTTTCTTTTCTTTCTTTCTTTCTTTCTTTCTTTCTAATCTCGTCTTTCTTTCTTTCTCGTCTTTCTTTCTTTCTAATCTCGTCTTTCTTTCTAATCTCGTCTTTCTTTCTTTCTTTCTTTCTTTCTAATCTCGTCTTTCTTTCTTTCTTTCTAATCTCGTCTTTCTTTCTTTCTTTCTTTCTTTCTTTCTAATCTCTTCTTTCTTTCTTTCTTTCTTTCTAATCTCGTCTTTCTTTCTAATTCCTTTCTTTCTTTCTTTCTTTCTTTCTTTTTTTCTTTCTTTCTTTCTCGTCTTTTTTCTTTCTTTCTTTCTAATCTCGTCTTTCTTTCTTTCTTTCTAATCTCGTCTTTCTTTCTTTCTTTCTTTCTTTCTAATCTCTTCTTTCTTTCTTTCTTTCTTTCTAATCTCGTCTTTCTTTCTTTCTTTCTTTCTTTCTTTCTTTCTAATCTCGTCTTTCTTTCTAATCTCGTCTTTCTTTCTTTCTTTCTTTCTTTCTTTCTAATCTCGTCTTTCTTTCTAATCTCGTCTTTCTTTCTTTCTTTCTTTCTAATCTCGTCTTTCTTCTTTCGTTTTCTTTCTTTCTTTCTTTCTTTCTTTCTTTCTTTTCTTTCTTTCTTTCTTTCTCTTCTTTCTTTCTTTCTTTCTTTTCTTTCAGCAGCACTTCAAGTGGTTCAATAAAAACCCAAAACTCTTTTCAAACCTTATTTATCTAACGATATCTCTATTCACCTGCTTTCTTTCTTTATTCCTTTCTTTTGTTCACATTTTTGTCTGTCCTGAATAACAAACCGGGTAGAATTTTAATCGCTATCGCCTATTTATTTATTTTAGATGCCGAGGAGATTATCTCTCAATGATTACTTCACTTTTATCAAGCGATAATACTAGATCTTTAAGAAAATGTACACGGTGATCGGAAAGCCTTGTCACCCCGTAAATCTCTTCCAAACTGCAGGAGCTCGTGTCAGCCATCTGAAACGGAAAATTTTATTATGTATGGGTGACAAGACTTTCGGACCACCCTGTACATTCTACAACGTTAATGGTGGCAAATAATACATTCTACACACACATACACACACGTGCTCGCGTGTACATGATTAAACACAAAACATAAGAATGAAATGAGAATTATGATAAAAGAACAAAAACCAGGAGATATTATTGCCATTTTCTATTAAATTCAGCATCCATTTTTGAAGTCTGTCTTGCTGTAGACATCTAGGATGAAGGATGCTGAGAAGACGGGTGAGATGATATTATTATTATTATTATTATTATTATTATTACTACTACTACTACTACTACTACAAGAAGAAGAAGAAGAAGAAGAAGAAGAAGAAGAAGAAGAAATGGTAGAAAGTAAATATAAAATACTTTTTTTTATTTATTGGTCATTTACGGTTACCTGCTTCTCCTGCCCCTACCCATCGCCAACGACATCCTACCCACCTCTGAAATGTTTCCTGCCGTCCTTTTTTCACTCTTTTATTTTTCTTTTCCCGTTGACGATAATTTCTAACCTCATACAGTGAACCCGTCGAGAAATCCGGTCTGCCGGATTTAGATACAAGATACTGGCGCTAAACGATAATCTCTCTTGAGACAGTCTTCTGAGGGATTTGGGGAAAAGTCGGCAGTCTTTTACTTGCGCTTTTCGCCTTCGAGGGAGAAGGAAGGGGGGGGAGAAGTAAGCGGTTCAGGTCTAGGGTGGAAGAGGAGGAGGATGACAGGGGAGGTAGTAGAAGAGGAAGGGGAGGAGAAATAAAAGCAAATGAAAGGACAAAGGAAAGACAAACGGGAATAAGCAAAGAGAGAAAAGCAGAGGAGAGGGAATAAATGGTGAAAGGCTGGAGAAGCAGGAAAGAACAATAATCATAAAAGAAGAACGAATATATGGGAGAAGAAAGAAAGAAAGAAAGAAAGAAAGAAAAGAAAAGAAAAGAAAAGAAAGGTAGAGAATAAAGCAATCAAGAAAGCCATCAAAGCGAAAAGAAAGAAAGAAAGACAGAAGGCGGAAAGAAAAAAGAAAGAAAGAAAGAAAAAGAACGAAAGAAAGAATGGAGGAGAGAGAGAGCGTGTGAGAGAGAGGAGAAAGAAAGAAAGAAAGAAAGAAAGAAAGAAAGAGAGAGAAAAAGAGAGAGAGAGAGAGAGAGAGAGAGAGAGAAAGGAAAGGCAGCGAAGTACAAGCAT